TGAATATTAGAGATAATAGCTCGCTTTATCTCTATCTCGTTGAAGGCGAAACACAGGATTAATGGACACATCAGAGCTTAATATGAATCAGCCTGTAGATGCACCTATGAGTATATTTTCCATGCAGGCACTTGGCGTTACAAATGCAGCCGGAGAAGCATGATACGCCCACGCTTTACTAAACCCACACGATCAGGGCCGTAGATATTGTGATCCAGGTGTCACATCCTGGAATCTTATCTACCATTCCGAACGATATCAATAGAACGAACATCTGAATAAAATATTGTGTTGAATTTAAGTTGGGACAATAACAAAACTATAGTTAGATGTCTGTTTAGATTTGAGGAATTCAGATGTGATACTTTGATGTATTATTTTGTGGAGGCAGGTAAATGTATGTGGGGGTTTAGAATGCTGAAGATGGCTGCAAGGGTGCAGGTTTAAGGACAGACGAGTGGCAAGGTTGTGGAGATTCAAGGATACAGGATTTAAAAATTTTAGAGTCCCAAATTTTCAAAGGTCCATGTCTCAAACTACTAAATATGCAAGGTCCCATATTCTCAAATTTCCAAGCTTCCAAATTTCTAATAATCCACATCTCAACTCTCTCAGTTTCCAAATTTCCAAGGTTCCATATTTTCAAGGATCTACACCTCAAACTCCCCATATTCCCAAATTTCCAAGCTTCCGGATTCCCAGAAGTCCACATCCCACAACTCTCTCAGTTCCCAAATTTTCAAGGTTCCATATTCTCAAGGATCTACACCTCAAACTCCCCATATTCCCAAATTTCCAAGCTCTCAAATTCCCAATAATCCACATCTCAACTCTCTCAGTTCCCAAATTTCCAAGGTTCCATATTCTCAAGGATCTACACCTCAAACTCCCCATATTCCCAAATTTCCAAGCTCTCAAATTCCCAATAATCCACATCCCAACTCTCTCAATTCCTAAATTTCCAAGGATCTACACCTCAAGCTCCCTATTTTCCCAAATTCTTCTCAACTTCCCAAATCCCCAAAGTCCTCCCAAATCAATTAGATATTGATCACCCAATATATGTTCACCTCATTCATAATTATGATAGAAGATGATCCAACCATTTCATCGGGACCCACAAAATTCCCAATTACGATTTTCTGAAAACCCCTGTAGAGATATCTGGCCTCAGAAGAGGACTCGTGACTCGTGATCTATCACCGGCCGAGGAAATTTCTGATTTTCATTTGCATGCCAGCCCGTAGCTCACGATAGTCACGAAGAGACGATGCAAAGGCAAGCCTACGCTCGCGAGACAAGTGGCGAACTTAAGGATGCGACGCGATGCACAAAAAACAGCCGCTCTGCCGGATGCAGCTTAGAGAGCGTTGCTTTCCTTCCTTCGTGTACGTGTGTCCACACGTGTACACGTATTGCATGTATATCCCCGGAGGAGCGTGTGCGTGTCACGCGTGTATTCCTGTCCCCCCGTGCACGCCCAAAAATCGAGCAACCGACTGGCTCGTTCCGTCTGGATTTTTATAGGCCCGACCAGTGTCTGCCCAGCCCTGCAAGTTTCACGAAACCCGTATTTGCATCACGATTCCGTGATCGTGCGTGTCCTCGGAATTGTCTCGTTATCCTCGATCTCGTAATAAATCCTTTCGAAAGGTTTCTTGAACTTGCGGGAATTAATTTTGGGAGTAATGCGGAGATTACAGGTTGAGATTAGGTGATGACGCACCCATAATGCACCGTGACGCACGCATAATGCACCTATGATGTGCTACGACGCACTCGTGACGCACCCATGATGCACAATGACGCGCTCGTGACGCACCCATGGTGTATTATGACGCACTCGTGACGCGCCCATAATGCACCGTGACACACTCGTGATGCACCCATGGTGTATTATGACATACTCGTGACGCGCCCATAATGCACCACGACGCACTCGTGACGCACCCATAATGCACCGTGACGCACCCATAATGCACCATGACGCACTCGCGACGCACCCACAATGCACCGTGACGCACGCATAATGCACCATGACGCACTCGTGACGCACCCATAATGCACCATGACGCACTCGTGACGCACCCACGGTGTATTATGACGCACTCGTGACGTGCCCATAATGCACCGTGACGCGCTCGTGACGCACCCATGGTGTATTATGACGCACTCGTGATGCATCCACAATGCACCGTGACACACTCGTGACGCACCCATGGTGTATTATGACGTACTCGTGACGTACCCATAATGCACCACGACGCACTCGTGACGCACCCATAATGCACCACGACGCACTCATAATGCACCACGATGCACCCATGATGTACTATGACGCACTCGAGACGCACTCATAATACACCATACAGCATTCGTGATGCGCCATGACACACTCACGACGCACTTCGCATGCAATATCTCAAAAATACATTCGCACAATTGAGTCAGAAGTTTAATACTATTTATATTGCATAATTAATTAATTTGCCTAATCAAGTTTTCCTAAATTTAATTTTCATTATTTGTACATTGCATATAATCAAGTCTACCGCAGTTGACGAAATTATAGTTTAATATTGAAGCTAATTATTTTTTTTTCAATATCGAATTGGTGTATTTTGGGTACGGGTTCGTTTCGTAGAAAATGAACCTTCAGGAACTGCTTTTTGTTCCTGCATCCGCAAGATGTACGTATTGACGTGCATAGTGGCCCATGTACGTCACCGTTTCACTTTCTTCCCGCATGTTATGTTGAAAAAAAAAAAATAGTTTTTTTCGTCGAGTTTAGAATTGTTAGTCAAAGTAATGCGCAGTTACATTCGAGCAAAAAAATAAAAAGTTATCGATGTGTACAAGTAGAAAGCAGCGATCATTTTGTTTCTTTTAGGGAAATCCGTAATTACCATCGGTATTTCTTTCCGACGATTTCTCTTATTTTGTGGAGTACGAAATTTATCCTACGAACTATTCGCGACCCTCGGTGTTGTATATTGGACGTGTTTTTTTTTTTGAAGCTTTCTCTTTTCGAATAATATGTGCACTTCGTTACGTCAGTGTGTTTCACCTAGATGTGCAGTATCGATTGTACATATTTGAGCTGATAACGAGGGGCAGACGATTGCGACAGAGATTTAGCAATATTTTTTTTTTCATTTTTTGAACCATTTAATTGTACTTTTATAAGTGCGTGATGCGCAATATAACGCGTGACGATATGGAATATAACGCGTGGAAATATAAATGCGCAGATCTAATGCGCAGCCATTTAACGCATGACCTAACGCGGTGATAAAACATGTAGCAATACGCATGATCTAACGCGGTGATAAAATACGTAGCAATACGCACTTACTAACAGTACTAACAAAAAAAATTGAGATACAATCGAGTACCGCCATCGCATTTATCTGATCAATATTTGTCCACGTATTTATCCGACAGTCAACATTAGTGTTCGCAATAATTATCAAAGTGAAGCACGGATTTCTGATACCGCAATTCGAAGAAATTTATTACGATAAATCTCGAGTCTATTGCCTGCAATAAAAAACTAGACACTAACCAATAACTATGCACACTATATATTTTAATCTCCACATAAAACTCGTGTTTTAAAATCCGTATAAAACGCGTAAAATTTCATTACATCACAGATTTAATCGCAGTGCTGACCGCATATTTTAAAAAATGCAAATTGCATCACGTGTCCCGTATTTTAAAACAAGATTCGTAGAACTAAATATTCACCTCTTATATCTTGTCCGACAATAAAGATAATAGAAGAATTAGACGGATAAAACGAATCAAGTGTTAAATTGCGATAAACGCACCACATGGGTTTTACTATTTTTAAAATATTCTTTTACGCTTTATCAGTCAGGAAGTACTCTCGAATCTTATGCGGAGATAAACTCTGAATCATCCTAATCAAATACGTTGTATCGTGAAACAATCTTCTAATTCAACGATGTCATCAAATATTATCTACATAGTCATTACACATCGAAGATATCGCTTCTATGCGTAACGTTTTTAAAATTACATTCGCGAATTATATGGCCCACTTTTTGTGACATATGTTTCGGGCTACCCTCAATCATCAACACAAATTATCCACTCGAAGCAAACCGCGCGATTGCATTAACGACAATGAACACGCGACGATCGTTTGTTTTCTTTCGGCAATGTTCGTGAATTATCGCCATTTCGCGACATCGATCGACGCTCGAAGTCGAATGTCAATCGACCGAAAAAATGGACGCGAATAAATAATGGCGTCCTGTCAAAAGAATACGCGAACAATATGTTTAATATACACAAATTGAATGCTACATTTAATACACACAAATTGAATGTTATAAGATCGTTGTTTATTTGAAGCAAGACATCGCATTAGCAACAACGAACACGCACGACCGTTTACGACTCGTGCTTTCTTTTCGGCAATGTTCGCGAATAATCGTTTCGAAACAATCAAAACTACGCTTTACGTGTACCGAATTTTGATCAACACACAAAACAAACGATATTGAAGAAACAAACGGTACTGAATTATCTCAAACGGTAATTTCGAATACACGGCATTTAAATCGAACGTAATAGAACGCCAAGAATTTTTCATCCGTGCGGTACCACGTGGTACCCCCGTTTCATGAACACCGTTTCACCCTTACTGTTTACGATTACATAACATCGCAATAACGCGATACGTTAAAAAGCACGCAAAACGATTTACACGTGATCATAATAAAAACCGACGCGACTCGAGGTAACTTCGCGGAAACCTGAAAACTGTAGCTTATCTATAACCTCTCAAGGAACGATATCGAAGCCTCACAATAATAACAAAAAATCTTTTGTAACGTGTCACGACAAGTCTTAAGACCGTACCGCCCACAACCCACGCTAACGAATAGGTTCTTCGTGACACGAAATGCACGTTACATATAGAGATCGATATCGATCCACGGGTTGAATAAAACAAAATAGAAACTCACCGAAGAAGTCTTCCCAGCTAACAGATCCATCCGAATCGACGGCGTTGGCAGCCGTGGCCTCCGCGTCTGCCTCGCTACCCATCTCGTTGCATCAAATACTTCAAACACGACAGGGACGTCCTCTCCTCGTTGGTTGTCACTGATTCCGGAAAAACACGGGATCCTTTGATGTCGAACACACGTCACACAACAACGACATTCGTCTCGTAACGCGGAGAACGAACCGTGAAACGGCCGACACACGATTTTAATCACGGAAGGAAGAGAACGACATCCCCTTGGCACGCGGTCGCAAGACGGACTGAGAGCGGGAGCCTTCGACCCGACCGAACGTGCCGGCAACTCAACGAATCGGCAAACAGCCGCCACCGACCAACAACGCTGTGCTGTGCTCTCTACTCGCGTTCCTCTGCTTTGCTCGGCTGCGAGTCCCTCAATGCACCGACTGTCCTCGCCTTCGTCCAGAAACGTACACTCTGCTGCAATGCAACCTTTCTTCGGACAAGGACAAATATTAGAATATTTACCATATTTCAATTTGGAAGAATATATTACACATTTTTAAATTTCTAATCTTTTATATTTTCTTAATTACCCAAAACCCATGAGTTCTCAAATTTTTAAATAGCCAAATTCCCAAATACTGAATATAGATTTATGTACTGGAATAAACGTGAAAATTTACCATTCAAATGGACGAGTGAGTGCTTGCTCTTGACGCCATTTTTAGTGGGGATGTGTACGGTGCTCGCGGGTGTACATGTAAATCGCCATACGCCGGCTGCCCATTGAATTAGGACCATCGAATATCGTGTGTATTTTTAACCCTTCATGGTGTACCGCCATCGCCGTTGCCTGGAACACAGCTTCTTGTTGGTTCTTTTTCCGGCGTTCGCTGCTCTGGCACTGGATAAAATAATTTGTTTTTTTAGGGATGAAAAATGACGTGGTTTTACAGTTTAATCTTCTAACTCTTACGAGAATATATTAGTTTCAAAATAGTATTTTCTGTTATGAACAAGTCACACCATCATCGATAAATATCGGATCAGTCTGTCGAGAGTTATGAATGTGTCAATTATTTATAACATTGAGGAATGAAGAATTTTATAACTGAATAGATATGAAGAATTTTTTAAATAAAAAGATAAGAAGAATTTAATTGTATATTAAAATAAAGATGGCTGTATGAAATTACATCGTAAAAATGACTATGAAATTATATTGTAAAAATGGCGTGACATTAAAATTAGCAAATGGCGTCTATTGTCAAACTTCAATAATGACAAATGTATTAAAAACTATTTAAACACTATTGAAATAAATAATATGTCGTACAATATGGTATATGATTCAATATGTTTTACCTGATATTTTATGTGTACAATCCAATAAGTAATTCCATTTTATTGTGCAAATTAATTTACACGCGGCACAACACATTCGAATAAGAGACGCACATGGACTAACAGTATCCTTCCCCCACTCAACGTACTTGCACTGCTTGCGCGCCGAAAACAAACTGCGCATGCGCAGTGGGAACTACGTACAAACTATTAGCTACTAAAAAATGTTTAGATAATAAAGTTCTTGGTACTTTTGTACTCAAGTTATTTATCTTTTTAAGTGGCTTTGTTTTATCAAATTTTCTTAATTACAATGTAAGAAAGAAAATTATATTGATAATGAAAGATTAATAAGATGAATGTATAGTACAAATATTCTTTTCATGTGCTTTTAAATTTGAGGTGCGCGCGCGCTTTGGAAACTGTACAGCTGTCGCCATCTAGCGATATTTCTTAGTATTAAGAAAAAAGAAAATTGTGATTTTCTGCAAAATAAATTATTTTTGGACTTTGGTAAAGCAAATAAATTATTGTAGGGTCATGGTTTTATTGAAATAATGGCTTTACAGTACGCTGGAAGCGGTAAATTTGATTTTTGAAAAAATAGTGATTTGTGGACAGTAAAAAGCTTAGCCATCTATCGGTGGTGGCCGGAACTAAATTTCATTTACTTTTTGCAATATTTAACGTAATCAAAGTGTCAAAATGAGAAATTAAATAATCTTACGCATAGAATACTGTCATTTAAAAAAATTAAATAGAGAAAACTAATTATTTAAGAAAAAATAATTTTCTATTAGTTCCACCAATTATCGATGGGTAGCGCCTGTGTAGCCAATTGAAAAGCGCGCGCAAATACAAAATTCAAAATTGCACACAGCGCACCTAGCACTTTTTTTTTATTAAAATAATTACTTTACGATAATTGTACACATAAAGTTATCACCAAAATTAAGATATACACAAAGTACATCATAAATAATATAATATAAGAATAGTAAAATATGTCTCCGAAAAAAAAATGTTCTAAATTTAAAAAAGATATTAAATATCAATATTTGAACTTTATGCTGATTATCTCAGATAACATTAAATAAAAAAGAACAAGAACCATCATAATCACGTTATACCTCAATACCTCGTTGACTATAATTACAAATTATAAATAAAAGAGTCATATATTTCACAAAATATTGCGATCATCAGTGTCAAGATAAAAAAAACTCCACAATATCAACCAATTTTACATAATCTTACCACACATGTAATTCGAGAAATAGTGCTACCTAATCTAGCCCGATAACACGATCGTGTCTACAGGTGCAACAGCCCTTTGAAACCTGCGATCAGCCACGATAACAGCTCATAAATCGTACGTCTAGGCTCCAACACCATGTCCTTCGTTTTATCAACGACAAACGTCGTAAAGTTTTCTCGCGAACCGAGCAATTAAACTTTCTTTTTTTAAGGATCGAGGAGATTTTTCAGCGACACGACGTTCAAGGTCGTACCAGTTAGGGACGCCAACTTGAAGATCGCATCTTAATATGAGCGTGCTGTTACTACGCCATCGAGGCGAAAGACCCTCGATATCGATTTTCAAGGACACCCTTCAAACGACCCACCCACAAAATTGCTGGTTAAATTGCGCTCTGGCCACTAGGCCAGTAAGGAAGGTCTTGTCCTTTGCACACTATTTAAATTTTGTCGATATCGGTAACTTACACTTTTCAGCGATTCACTGGCAAAATTTTAGGGGTTGGAATAATTTTAGGTGGGGGAGGCAAGGTTTAATTTTGAAAATGGGGGTTGGAAGATTTGGAAATTGGGGGAGGTGGAATTTGAGGGTGTGGGAGTTGGGGATTTGGGGATTTAGGGATTTAGGGAATTAAGGATTTGGTGATTTGGGGATTTGAGAATTTGGGGAGCCCCGAATTCGGGGATTTAGGGAGTTGGAAATTTGAGAATTTGGGGGAGTGGGAATTGGGGATTTGGGGATTTAGAGATTTGGTAATTTGGGGATTTGGGGATTTGAGAATTTGGGGAGCCCCGAATTCGGGGATTTAGGGAGTTGGAAATTTCAGAATTTGGGGTGCCCCGAATTTGGGGAATTGGGGGATTGGAAATTTGGGAATTTGGGGCGCCCCGAATTCGGGAAATTAGAGAATTGGAAATTTTGGAATTTGGAGCGCCCCGAATTCGGGGATTTAGGGAGTTGGAAATTTGGGAATTTGGGGCGTCCCGAATTCGGGGATTTAGGGAATCGGAAATTTGGGAATTTGGGGCGCTCCGAATTCGGGGATTTAGGGAGTTGGAAATTTGGGAATTTGGGGCGTCCCGAATTCGGGGATTTAGGGAATCGGAAATTTGGGAATTTGGGGCGCCCCGAATTCGGGGATTTAGGGAGTTGGAAATTTGGAAATTTGGGGCGCCCCGAATTTGGGGATGTATGGAGTTGGAAATTTGGGAATTTGGGGCGCCCCGAATTCGGGGATTTAAGGAGTTGGAAATTTCAGAATTTGGGGAGCCCCGAATTCGGGGATTTAGAGAGTTGAAAATTTGGTAATTTGGTAACTTGAAACCTTGATAACTTGAAACCTTGATAACTTGAAACCTTGATAACTTGAAACCTTGATAACTTGAAACCTTGATAACTTGAAACCTTGATAACTTGAAACCTTGATAACTTGAAACCTTGATAACTTGAAACCTTGATAACTTGAAACCTTGATAACTTGAAACCTTGATAACTTGAAACCTTGATAACTTGAAACCTTGATAACTTAAAACCTTGATAACTTGAAACCTCGATAACTTGAAACCTTAATAACTCAATAATTTAAAACCTCGAAACCTGCTACAGCAAAAGAGCACAAACTCAAGGCCTCCACGTACCAATAAATAACAAAGTACCATATTTTTAGGGCACGTCCAATTTCACCACCTCCAATTCCAAATTTATCGCCGTAATTGGCCTCCATCAAATGATTAACTATAACATCAGCCTTTCACCTATGATGTCTGACACGCTTATTATCAAATGCTTCCACTTATTATCTTTTCGTGCTTCGATTTTTGCGGTCACGCTAACCGCCACCCTTTTCAATCACTCATTTCACCGCGTTTCCTCCACCCTCAATCTCTCTTCGATATCTTTAATCGTATCTACTACTTGCGCATAACATTTGACCTGTTTACTCCAACTTTATTTAAAAAACAAACTTTATCTGGCACGTGTTAGCAATGACTCACTAACGTTAAGAAAATAAGGTCATTTTATAAAGACAGTCAATACAAACGTGTTAGCATTTAATATATAATTCAGTTTTTTTCCTTTGTGCGTTTTTTATGGTTCACTAAAGATTCTGTTTAATTTCGTTGCGTGCTAATGGTTGTTGAAAGTTTCGCGAAAAATTACTCGTGTGAATATTGCGATAAAAGTTCCTGGTATCGGATACAATTGCGCAGTTGCCATAAAAGTGTTAATATATTCCGTCCCATAAAAAATATGGCGCCTTAAAGCACTGTTGTAGGACAGTGGTACAACCATTAAGAATAAAACCACTCCTCTATGCAATCTTTTTCTTGCAATTAAAAACTTCTTATAAATTTTTGTGTAATATTCTAAATTTTCTGTATTTTATTTAGAGACAGAGATGTCTTCTACAGTCAGTCTTTTACTCTTGAAGCATACGTTTACTAATTTTTTTACAAATTTCCAACTTCCTAAATCTTCAAATTCGGGGCGCCCCAAATTCCAAAATTTCCAACTTCCTAAATCCCCGAATTCGGGGCGCCCCAAATTCCCAAATTTCCAACTAACTACATTACCGAATTCGGGACGCCCCAAATTCCCAAATTTCCAACTTTCTAAATCCCCGAATTCGGGGCGCCCCAAATTCCCAATTTTCCAATTCCTCAATTCTCCGAATTCGGAGCTTCCAAAATTCCCAATTTTCCAATTCCCCAATTCCCCGAATTCGGGGCTTCCCAAATTCCAGAATTTCCAACTCTCTAAATTCCCGAATTCGGGGCGCCCCAAATTCCCAAGTTTCCAACTCCATAAATCCCCGAATTCGGGGCGCCCCAAATTCCCAAATTTCCAACTCCCCAATTCCCCGAATTCGGGGCATCCCAAATTCCCAAATTTCCAACTCCCCAATTCCCCGAATTCGGGGCATCCCAAATTCCCAAATTTCCAACTCCCCAATTCCCCGAATTCGGGGCATCCCAAATTCCCAAATTTCCAACTCCCCAATTCCCCGAATTCGGGGCATCCCAAATTCCCAAATTTCCAACTCCCCAAATCCCCGAATTCGGGGCGCCCCAAATTCCCAAATTTCCAACTCCCTAAATCCCCGTATTCGGGGCTTCCCAAATTCCAAAACTTCCAACTCCCTAAATCCCCGAATTCGGTGCTCCCCAAATTTCCCAATTGAAACAAAATTGAAATACATTTTTCAAAATTAAAAATGTAAATTCAAATTAAATTTTTTAAAATTAAAGTATATATCATTATCCTTCCTGTATGTTGTACACTACGATTTTTAACTACCTTGAAATAAATAAAATATAATTAAACAAAAAATTGTGACCTAAGTTCATAAAAATCCAAACAGACAAAAAGCTTCGAAGAAGTATCTGTAATTTCGATACATTGTAGCGAAAGATTTGTGGGTTGCGTAATTTCAGGGCGAAGAAACCTTGGAAGGGCAAGGGTGTGTTAAGTAGAAAGGTTAGCCCCAGGAGTCTCAGGGCAAGAAAGGCGGAGTGAAAGAGCGCAGGCCTCGACCTCCACCGCGTCGTTTCGAAGTTACCGAGGGTGGTCGACTGTAGGAGTCACGCAAGGGCGAAACGAGACCCGAGTGGCCAGCTTGGGGAACCGATTGTTTCCTTGGCAAATCAGTCAGTCTGCAGAATGAAGTGTCCCGCGTGGCTGCTTTTCGCGTTGTTCCCGCTGTTGTTTGCCGGAATACCGGTGTCCAGCTCGCAGAGGACCCACGCGAGGCAGGGCCTGGGTCGTGAGCAACCCCTTGTCAAGATTTCTGATCAGGGAACTGTCGCTGGCAAGGAGGTGAGGCTTCCTTTTATTTACTAGCTTCCTTTTATTGACCAGCCTCTTTTTATTTACTAGCTTCTTTTGTTATTTACTGAGATTTCAATCAGAACTATTCGAATCAATTCATCATGGTTCACAATTCTTCATAGTTCACAATTCGTCACAGTTCATAATTCGTCACAGTTCACCGCAGTTACCATAGGCATCATATTTGTGATCATATGAGGGCCTTTAAATTACAGTATCGAACCCATAACCTTTCGTCAAACCCATAACAATGTTTGTCATTCAACACTCGACAATTCAAGTTTCAATTTATGTCACAAGGTGCAATAAGAATTTAATTGTGAGCTTATATAAATAATCGCATTGTTATAACCTTTCGTCAAACCCATAACAATGTTTGTCATTCAACACTCGACAATTCAGGTTTCAATTTATGTCACAAGGTGCAATAAGAATTTAATTGTGATCTTATATAAATAATCGCATTGCATAAGCATGTTATGTGAACAGATCACTAGTTAAGATGATTTTTATTCGTTTGATTGCATAACTGGAGATCTTGATTTTGTACGTACGTGGCAATAATTCTTCATGGTTTTCATAGTCACCGTTTCAAAGGGGTTGTTACCTGCCATCAGTGCGGTTGCTATGCAATTAAATAAAATGTTGCTTGACTCGTATTGGAGACTGTCTTCTAGAGGTCCTTCGATTCTTAAATTTACTGTTGTTTCGTTAAAATGGAGACGTTGTAGCGATGTCTTTGAACACTTTATTGTTGTAATATTCTCGGGTGATTAAATTTGATTGGTGAGAGTAAAGCTTGATGAGATTGTGAAATAATAACGATAACAAGTGGGAAGGTAGTAGAATATTGTAGTTTAATAAAATAATGGAACAGTCGAATAATAAAATAGTTAAAATTTTAAAATAATAGAGTAGAGTTGCAAACTTGTAGTGGAGTACTATAGTCTTATAAGAAGAACAGTACAGTGAAAGAGTGAGATAATAATTTAATTTAATATCGCCGTGAAATCGCAGTAAAAAGAAACTCGGTAACCTACTGTCCCGTCAAAATTATATTCCTTTTAATACGCAAATCCTGACGCACATGACGCACGTGACGCACTAACTCTCGAAACCCAACAAATCTCCCATTTTCACCACGATTCAATTTCGCATTAAACTTGCATTTCTTCGAATGAAATTTGTTATAAAAACTATAATAAGAAAGTATAGTACCGTTGCACAAAGGTTTTACTGCGCGAGAACAAAATGTGCTTGAAATTTTACGTTTAATTTAACGCGTCGATTTTTGTACCGTGAAATCGCAGTAAAAGAAACTCGGTTCTGTAACCTACTGTCCCTTCAAAATTATATTCTTTTAATACGCAAATCCTTGCCTCACATCTGACGCACATGACGCACTAACTCTCGAAACCCATCAAATCTCCCCACGATTCAATTTCGCCTCCAAAATTAAACATTTCAACGACCCCTCAAAGCAATTACACTACAAAACTCTTAAGCACGAAGAACGTTATTCTCTTAATGTCACATTAGCATAAAGAGCAAGCCTCAGTAACCGAAACCTACATTTGCACCGAGAAGTAACAACGAAACGTAGAAAAGCTGCGCAAACATAATGTAATTCGACATTTTAACCGCACAGCCAACAATAACATGAAAGCACCGTAAGTTTCAATTGTACGAATTAAACGTATGCAGATAATATGCAACAGAGACGTAACTGGGCCGCCACTTATGAATTTTAATTTTATAGATTATTTTTTTACACCCTTTCGTTTCTGCTAATATTCGAACAACGATCAATTTCCGTCAGACCGAAATATGTTTTCATACTGTGGTATAATTCTCTACTTTGCATACATTTGCGTTTCACTTCTTTTTCAGCTAATCTTATTCTCCATTAGGTATACATTCTTGGAAAATGGCGATGTACGAAATAGGAATCGTAGAGCGAGGAAAGACGGAAGTGTTAACCTCTTGCTTTGAAGAGTCTCGCTCGACGCACTTACTGCTCGAATGTGAGGAACCTCACTCAAATTTTGGGTACTCAACTTGAAATTTAGGTCCAAGTTGCAGTATCAAGGATCCCTGAATATAAAATACTCGGAACATTTTAATTTTCTTTGTCCGTTTTAATGTTATAGTCCTGTTTAGTCTTGACGGACGCATCTGATAAATAAATTGCATAGGAAGGGGTTAAGTCGTCCTGACGCTGTATCAAGGATTCCTAAATATAAAATACTCAGAACATTTTAATATAATATTTAATGTAATATAATATAACGTGTTATAGTCCTAAATATTCTTTACTGACGTATCTAATAAATGGGAAGAAGCTAAAACAGTTTTAACCTAAGCAGCCCTTAAGTACCCTCAACATAAAAAATTAATAACCTATCATAATTTAAAAGTCGTTCAAACGAATAACGTCACCGAATAATTACCATACATTAAATCATATCATTTCAATATTTAAATGTCAATGGTTCGCGTGATCAATTAAACGGTAATGAACAAATTGCGAAAGCAATTAACGGAAGTTAAATTAAAACGCATTTCAAATCGCGTTCCACATTTCGCGGGTTTTACGGCCGCGATAAGCCAATGTAGTTTAGATGAAATCACGAATTGCAAACTATGAGTAACGTAATTTAAATCGCTAGAAGTAAAGCGATTGTATTACGAACCCGGGTTTAAGCTTAAACGCCTGAGAGATGATTGCAGGTCGTCGAGATTACGTGGCCACGATTTGTCACGTGTAATTTTCCAGTTCCCCTAGAAACCTCTTTCAGTTTACCTTTTCACCTAGAAAATCAGGTTCTAAACGTCCTCGCCCTTTTTCCACTTAACATGCAAAGACTTGATATGTTTTGTACCCTTTATCGATGTTGCATATCGAATAGTTTATATCTTAACACCTTCGTTTCAGTCATTTTAATAGGCAGTATTTTAGTAGCATTTATTTAAGATATATTCACGTTATTATATGTGTTGGAGTTTTGAATTTACGCGCTTTTAGAAATTCGCGGTCCTTCGTTTTCTGTTTTTCGTTGCCGTGCAGCGTTTTGTGTTTTGAGAACCGTTAGTGACCACGTTTTACGATGCCCGGCGACTTTTATTCTGCGTGTTTTAATAAAAATAACTGTGTTCACTATTCACGTTATTTAAGATAATTCGTTGTTTTACAGGCGTTCCTAAGTCCGACGCAGAAAGTTGTACAGTATTTGGGAATACCGTACGCACAACCACCCGTCGGTAAACTACGCTTCTCCAACCCCGTTACCGATCCTCTTCCATCATGGAGCGGTGTACGAAACGCTACTCAGTTTGCACCGTCTTGCCAGCAATTGACGAATCGATTGAAACTTCACGAGCAACATTACAAAGGATTGCTACCACCTGATCAACCTGATCCTGGGGTCAGCGAGGATTGCCTTTATTTGAACATTTTTGCTCCGGATGGTAAGTCTTCGGGAGCCATTTTGTTTTTCAAATGTTGCCTTATATAGAATAATTCTGTCGAACATTGAAATTAACATTGAAATCATATCATGATTGAAATCATATCGAGACTGAAATTATATCACGATTGAAATAATATGATTGAAACCATGTCATGATACAATAAATATATCATCCCTTACAAAAAAGACAAAAGAGTAACTGAACAGACAGAATGCGAATTAACAAAGAAAATGTATATGATTGAAATCATATCATGATTGAAACCATATCATGATACAATAAATATATCATCCCCTACAAAAAAGACAAAAGAGTAACTGAACAGACAGAACGCGAATTAACAAAGAAAATGTATATAATTGAAATCATATTAAAACTGAAATCATATCATGATTGAAATTATATCATGACTGAAACCATATCACAATACAATGAATATATCATCCCCTATAAAAAAGACAAAAGAGTAACTGAGCAGACAGAATGCGAATTAACAAAGAAAATGTATATAATTGAAATCATATTAAAACTGAAATCATATCATGATTGAAATTATATCATGACTGAAACCATATCACAATACAATGAATATATCATCCCCTACAAAAAAGACAAAAGAGTAGCTGGACAGACAGAACGCGAATTAACAAAGAAAATGTATATGATTGAAATCCTATCATGATTGAAATTATATCATGATTGAAACCATATCATGGTACAATGAACATATCATCCCTTACAAAAAAGACAAAAGAGTAATTGAATAGACAGAATGCGAATTAACAAAGAAAATGTATATGATTGAAATCCTATCATGATTGAAATTATATCATGATTGAAACCATATCATGGTACAATGAACATATCATCCCTTACAAAATAGACAAAAGAGTAATTGAACAGACAGAATGCGAATTAACAAAGAAAATGTATATAATTGAAATCATATTAAAACTGAAATCATATCATGATTGAAATTATATCATGATTGAAACCATATCATGGTACAATGAACATATCATCCCTTACAAAATAGACAAAAGAGTAATTGAACAGACAGAATGCGAATTAACAAAGAAAATGTATATGATTGAAATCATGTCATGACTGAAATTATATCATGATTGAAACCATATCATGGTACAATGAACATATCATCCCTTACAAAAAAGACAAAAGAGTAACTGAGCAGACAGAACGCGAATTGACAAAGAAAATGTATATGATTGAAATCATGTCATGACTGAAATTATATCATGATTGAAATCGTATCATGACTGAAATTATATCATGATTGAAACCATATCACAATACAATGAATATATCATCCCTTACAAAAGAAAGTCAAAAGAGTAACTGAACAGACAGAACGCGAATTAACAAAGAAAATGTATATAATTGAAATCATATTAAAACTGAAATCATATCATGATTGAAATTATATCATGACTGAAACCATATCACAATACAATGAATATATCATCCCCTACAAAAAAGACAAAAGAGTAACTGAACAGACAGAACGCGAATTAACAAAGAAAATGTATATGATTGAAATAATATCATGATTGAAATAATATCATGATTGAAACCATATCATGATACAATAAATATATCATCCCTTACAAAAAAGACAAAAGAGTAACCAAACAGGCAGAACGCGAATTAAATAAAATGTGCACCCATTGTGCAAACCATTGAATTTACCCTCAGTTAACATCTATCTCACATAATAAAATCAAAGAACTCATCATTAATAATTAAAAAAGAGCTTAACAACGAGTTACCAGTGTACAATCTCACCGTGACCGATAACTCGATGTAATCCAAATAATCGACACGACAGCTTCAAATAACATTTGACTGGCAACACGCGAGTCACGCGAGTAATGATGATCATAGTCCCTCGTTTCTCCTTGGCGATATGTCACCTTAGTTCGATCGCTATCTTGTTGCTAAAGAAAAGCCTGTGATTATAATGTCGTCGCGTTGCTTCGAGAAAAGTTCCTAATCTTCGTCGAATGGCTCGCGTGGGAAACTTAATAACGTCTGAACTTTGCACGATAGTTCGATCGGAGATTAAAACATTGTAAATTGTATGGAATTACGGTGGTTAGATATTTATACTTAGTATTAGACTCGTGCATTTGTTAATAGTTTAAAGGTAGGGGTTATGTGTTGATTGTGCCTCGTATTTTTTGTTTGATGGGAAGGTTTTAGACTTGAGCGTTCTTGGAGGGTTCTTTCAAACTTGATAGTCTTAGGAAGTTTAAAATCTTGAAAATTAAAGGACTGGGAGGTTTAGAGGTACTGGGAGACTCAGAGATTTAGACTTCGAGGTTCTTAGAGCGTTCTTGGAGGGTTCTTTCAAACTTGATAGTCTTAGGAAGTTTAAAATCTTGAAAATTAAAGGACTGGGAGGTTTAGAGGTACTGGGAGACTTAGAGGTACAAAGGGAAATATAAAGAAGGAACATAGTGGAAGATCTAGAGACGTGAGGAGATTTAGAAGAACTTTGGATGAGTTACTTAAAGAGTTGCTTAGAGTTTGAGGAACCTGGGAACCATTGTGAAGTTTGAGGAACGTGGAGAACTTAAACATTCTAAGAACTCTATGATCATATTCCTACACCTTACAATTAGTGAATATCTATTAGACATTCCACTAAATTCAGAAACCTTGAAGAACCTAGAAATCCTAGCAACCTCAACTCACCTTAAAAACCCACAGCCTCTGAAGTCCTCAGAAATTCATGAAACCTTGTGAACTTGAGGAACTTGGAGAACCTAAAGATCCTAAGAACTCTGTGATCATATGACTAAGTCCTAGTAAATATCTATTAGACATTCCACTGAATCCAGAAACCTTGAGGAACTTAGAAAGAACCTAAACCTAGAACCTAGAAATCCTAACTACCCCAAAATACCTGAAGAACCCACAGCCTCTGAAGTCCTCAGCAACTCATGAAACCTTGTGAACTTGAGGAACTTGGAGAACCTAAACGTCCTAAGAACTCTATGATCATATTACTTTATCCTACTAAATATCTATTAGACCTTCCACTGAATCCAGAAACCTTGAAGAACCTAGAAAGAACCTAAACCTAGAACCTAGAAATCCTAGCTACCCCAACTCACCTAAAAAACCCACAGCCTCTAAAGTCCTCAGAAACTCACAAAACCTTGAAAGTCCCAAGAACCTAAAAATTGTAAGAACCTAAGAACCTCAACAAGAGATAAATTTTGTCTACTTATCGTATTAAATGATCAACCAGCACTGTAGTTGCGTAAAACCTTGTACTGTAGCTAATGCAAAATAGATGTGTTAGAACAGCATTCGTGAAGCGTCATAAAGAAAGCCATAATTTTTATTATGATGATGACTCGAGCTATTTGCCGTTCCAATTTCTCGATTGACAATAAATGCGACTCCCTGCGTGCTGAACGTACGTTAATCTCGTTGTTTGAGGATGTCGGTTAAGGACTAAGCTAATAGCGGCATTACGAGCATCATTTCCAGCTAATTTCGGATGTCTCGTGAGCTCTCGAGCTCGTAAATCGAAAGAAAGCTTATGAAGGTTGCGATGAGAGTTTCTCAAATCGATACGCTAAAATGTGATGTTCTTGGGATCTTTCCTATCTTATTTTTGGCTTCACAATATTTAAATTTTGCAATATTCATCTTTGAATAATTGTGGAGATGAGACGATGTCGAATTCAAAATTTGAACTTCATATCCACATCTATTATTACCAATCATACATTTACAACCTGACCACTAATTTACTCTTATAAATTCTAAATTTACCCACTAATTTACCCTTCTAAATTCTAAATTTACCTACTAATTTACCCTTCTAAATTTACCCACTAATTTACCCTTCTAAATTCTAAATTTACCCACTAATTTACCCTTCTAAATTCTAAATGTACCCACTAATTTGCCCTTCGAATTCTAACACTCCGCAAAAATAAATTACATCTCCAAAATTTGTATACAAAAATTTTTGCAAGAATTTCAAACAATCGTCAAGTATAATAATTGCAAGGAACAGACTTGATGCGACAAGCCAAATTTAGGTTCCTCCACAATACCAATCATTACCCACCATAGTACAGTTATTAATGATACACCTCGAATACGACTTTCTACGCGTACCTTGCACGCGTGTCACGGTGGAACAGGGACAAGAAGGGGTTAGAAAATAGGAAAGGGGACACGTGAATCTGGAAATCGTGCCGATCCCGCAACCCACCCTCGGTCGATATAGAAACAGCAAAAGGTAAGAGTAAGAGAGTAACTGGTGCACACCGTTGCACGCGATCTCTTTTAGGGTTGCTCGAGATGTTAAGATACCGAGGAGGTCACGAAACACCCCTTTCTCTTACTTTCTTTGTCGCTTTCAGATCATTTCGGAATCGTACCTGGAATCGACAGAATTTCATGTTAGTTCTTCTAGAATTTCATGTCATAGTTCTTCAGATTTCATACGGTTCTGAAGAGAAGAAAGGAAATTTTGGGTCAAACTTTGCAGGGATGTTGGATCAAATGTTTCATAAATTTTTAAAATGGCAAATTGTACAATTTCACAGTTCTAAACTTTCAAATTAATGTACCTTCAGTGCCATTATGGGACATCATCCGCCATTTTGTTTTATCCCCAGGCAAATTGTGGATCAACCTTTGCAGCGATGTTAGATCAAATGTTACACGTCTACAAATTCTTAAAATCTCAAACTACTTAATTTTTACAGTCTCACAATTCCAAATTCATATACCTCCAGTGTCATTTTGTGATATCCTCTACCATTTTGTTTTATCCCCAGTCAAATTTTAAATCAACCTTTGCAGCAATATTACATCAAACGTTCTACATCCACAAATTCTTAAAATCTCAAACTACTTAATTCTCACAGTCTCACAATTCCAAATTCATATACCTCCAGTGCCATTTTGTGACATCCTCTACCATTTTGTTTTATCCCCAGTCAAATTTTAAATCAACCTTTGCAGCAATATTACATCAAACGTTCTACATCCACAAATTCTTAAAACCTCAAACTACTCCATTTTCACAGCCCTAAACTTCCAAATCAATGTACCTTCAGTGTCATTTTGTGACATCCGCCATATTGTGAATCCCCAAACACCAAAATCCTTCCCAAAAGTTATGAAGCCTTAAAACTTGATTTACCTCCACAAGTGGAGAATACGAAGATGGTTAGAATCAATTGGATAAGCCTCACGATCGCGATAAGCGTCTAATGAATCCTCGTGACGGGGACTGATATCTCAGAGAAGAAGAGGCTATTCCTGGCCGCCACAGACCGATAACTATATCGTTTCTTCCATCGCGTTATCGTGAAATGTCCTACCGTGCAATGGCCTGAATTCCTGCGACCTTGGCACGCTTGAAAAAATTGACCGACACGCCGCGAGGAAATCGCCGAAATTAATTATTCAAACGGTCGGATAGGGTTCGTTTGGGTGGAAAGAATTCATGAAACTTTTAATGATTCACCATTCGACGGTTGTGTACTTGGAAACCTAGGTGTTCTAGGATTTTAAGGATACCTAGTATTTTACATAGTTTTTTGCAACGTATTGAACGTATTCACGTTGATAAGGTTTCAAAGAATTTTTTACGAGTTCCAAGGTCTACGACTCATCGATGCTATGCAAATTCTGTCACGATCGATTCACCGGTTTAACCGGAAACGTAGATGCATACCTGCGAGCACGCACGTCTTCCTCACGATCTCAGGAATTCGCCAAGTCTCGCTTAGCTCGTTAATTTGTCGAAACCGTCTGGCGAAACCTTAAGGAAATACAATAATTAAATAGAATGTATTGAAAAATGCCGGATGTATTTGAATAAAAAATGAGAAAGAAACAATTGAATTTTGAGCTACGAGAAATACAAAAGTTTACCTTTTAAAAACCGAAGTATATTACAACATAAATGTACAACAATAATTTGAAATACATGTAGGAAATAAACCGGACGAAGGATGGCCGGTGATGGTGTGGTTCCACGGCGGTGACTTCAACACCGGAACACCAGCGATCTGGGACGCGTCTATTTTCGTCAACAAACACAAAGTAAGTCGTCATTAATCTCTCTCTATATATATATTAAATTACAAACAATGTTACACCAAAAAATACAATCTTCACAAAATTCTAAAATAAATTCTTCCCACTGAGAACTACTTACAAACATATCTCGAATGTATCAAAGCTAAAAGTATCTGAATTTCAACGTTCTCGCTAAAACTATTACCATTGGCGTTTTGACCTTATAACCTATACACGTGTAACCCTGGAAAAGAATCCGATCGCGAATCAATCGGTTCGAACGTTAAAAATGGACAGAAAATCGAAGGAAATTAAGGTGTTGATTGCGTGCAACTTTCATCCTAGATAAATTCAACCTTTGGAATCGTAAGGTTCATCCATGATGCATGTATGCCTCAAGTTATCGCTGTAAATGCTAATTCGAAACATTCATGAGGAACAATCGTTGCTAGAAGATTATTAAACGTTATGGGAGTTATATTAATCGACTACGAGAAAAGAAGATTCGTTAAAATAAATTGAGGCAAAGATTACAATAGACTTTCGTTACCATCGTACGAGAATCTGTTGTAATTTTTCTCTTTAACACGTCGACTGCCAATAGAACTAAAGCTAAATCAGAAAAGTAGAGAAAGAATTCTTAATGCCCCTAAAATTCTAACGATACAAAATAGCGAATAGATTACCGTGTGCCTGTACTAGGCGTGTCTAATTATCTACTGTGCCAGTCACACGTGTTAAACGCGTTATTTGGAGAAACCGTCCGACGAGGTTAACGATCGTCGCAAATTTTTAACAATATACTGTATCATATACGAAGGGAAGGATCTCGTTCTCTAATTTCTTTTCTACGCGATCATCTAACGCTCTGTTCATTATTCGACAGGGTTTACAAAACAATGTAAAAACGCTTAAATTGCAATATCAATTAGTTTCGTAAACGTTCGTATTTAATTTAACGCTAGCGTACGAAATGATTAATTACGTGATAACTGTTGATTGAACGTTTCACATCTATTGGTTTGAGAACACTTATACATTCCTAAACTCGTGAACTCTGCCCTTACGTTCCTACAGGGTGATTATAAGAAGACGTTCAGAAATTTCTAGCCTTGTAATGTCTCTCAATTTTCTACTCATTGTTACTTCATAATTACTTTCTTATTCTGACAAGATTCTCTGCATGACAAAACTCTCATATGACAAAAAAAATAACTCCCCAATGATTCTACACAAAACATTACAAGTCTATCAATTACTGAACCACCAACAACCGCGACAGAAAAATATTAACAAACTCTCCATTAAAAACCATTCTACTCCCCATTGAAATTAACACACGAAACGAGTCATTCTATCTTACAACGATACAACTCAGCCTAAATCTAACGCACGATTAATGGTAACAATGGTCTTCGTGTCCAGGTGATAGTAGTCACGGTGGCGTATCGTTTGAACATCCTCGGCTTCTTCACCACAACGGACGCGGAGGCGCCGGGTAATTACGGTATGTTCGATCAGATCGCATCCCTGGACTGGGTCCAGAAGAAGATCCATCACTTCGGTGGTACCCCCTCCAACGTGGTGATCTACGGCCACGACTCGGGCGCAATCAGCGTGGGTCTTCACCTGATCAGTCCTCTGAGCAAAGGCAAGTTCTCCAAAGCGATCGCGATGAGCGGCGACGCGTTGAGCTCCGTGGGCACTCTTCAAAGGGAGCTGTCCGTGGTGGACATAGTCGCCGAGAAGTTCGGCTGCTATCGTCGTCCAACGTCGGCGCTGATGGAGTGTCTTCGTCGGGTACCCGTGAAGCTTCTGGTCCACCAATCGTCGGACATAGAGTCCTGGGGTCCCATCACCGACTTCGAGACCAACAACTCCACCGAGCCGTTTCTTCCGGATCATGCCATAAACATGTTAGAGAGCGGCAACTTCTACTCCGTCCCTCTGCTAGCTGGCTACACGAACAACGAGTACGCGTTGACCTATATCGAAGGCCTGGATAAAGAGAACGCCGAGGGCAAGATGTCCTACGACACCTTCCAGATGATGATCACGGACTGGTTCTCGGCGCTGGTCCAGGGCCCAGAAGACAACAGCACCTGCGAGCTGAAGCCAGAGATGGTCGCAGAGGCGGTGCTGTTCTTCTACAAACCCCATCCGCCGACCAAGGACCAGGGCGCACTGCGTGACAGATACCTGGACCTGCAAATCGATAGGAATATCGCGGCTGGAATGACTCTGCTGGCTGGCAAGGTGGCCAAGGAGAAGCGGGCGTTCGTTTACAGGTTCGACTACCGACCCAAGACTCAGTCAGTCATCAAAGACGTACCGGAATGGGCCGGCGTGCCTCACATGTTCGAGTTACCCTTCGTCTGGGGGCTTCCTTTGCAGGCTGGCAGTCCTATCCAGTGGAACTTCAACGATAAGAAGATGGCCGAAGTGGTGATGGCGATGATAGCCGGGTTCGTGAAGACGGGCAATCCCTCGCTGAACAACGTCAAGTGGGAACCGTACACCGAAGACGAGCCTGGGATCCTCATCATCGACAGGAACATCGACATGGCTCAAGCTAATACCGTCGACTACAAAGCGCTCGCTTTCTGGAACGAATACTATCCGATGATTCTGGAAGAGGCCACCAATAACTGTTGTAACGTAACCGGTAGTGGCGCCGCGTGGAGACGAAGTTCTTACAACGTTGTTTTTAGCGGATTGTTTTGGGTAATGGTGACGTCTGGGTTCCTTGAACTGTAGTCCGTTTTGGGAGGTTGTTCTTTGGATCTGCTCAAAAAGTATGCTTGAATGTATCGGTGATCGAGAGACTTTTGGGTAGACTTCCTTTAGGTTCTGATCACGCAGTAGGCTAGCCACGTGTACAGAGTACAAACGAGCGTCTCTTATTTAAGTTGTCACTGGTCGCAGCCTCGTTAGATTTAGGACTCGGTTCTGATGTTTAGAAACGTGCACCAGAGTGGACCACCTTTTGACAACACACGTAATGTTTTGAAAGAGGTTTAAAAAACGTGTCGATGCACCGGCATCGTTCACGGCGTAGTCTATGTGGAAAAGAAAAGTAAGATATTCGATTAGTCGCGAAGATGGAACGCTTAAAGAGATAATGAACATTGTAAGTCCAGGAAATTTGAATTAATTTCTAGATGTAAAGTATCTAAAGATGTTATCAAAGATAAAAGTAATTAATTCGCTTTGATAAAGTTCGATTTCGACTAGAACTTACATCGCTCGTTATCTTTCGGATCGAATCGAGAAAAGGGAGAAAAGTTGGGCGTCTAGGTGTGAGTGAATATCAAAGGAGGAGAACCAGAGCCTGGGCTTATTTTTTTCTTTGTTCATTTTTTCTTTTTTCTTAACATTCACTGAGAGATTTTTTATTATTTGCTTTAATACGGAGAGATATAGAAAAAACATATATTGTTCGAGAAACAAACGGCTGATATAACTTATGAATATTTTGATGCTTCGATAATAATTAATAATAATAATAATAGTAATTAATAATCATTCGTGTGTGTACGTGTGTCCTGTTCGTGTGTATTCGTGTACGAATGTGTGGATGTGGTGTACGTGTGTGTTTGTGTGTCTGTACGTGTACCGTCTATGTATAATTATTATATTATATATAAGAGAGAGGTGCGCGGCGGGCAATGCATGGGGGCTGGTGGCCTGCGCACGCGCACATCCAAACATTTTTTCTTTTTTCTTTTTCATCCTTTTCTCCTAATACATATACATATACATATAAATACATATATATATGTATATATATTTATATATTTATATATATTTATATACTATCATTAATTAATCATATTTTTTCTTCTTTCTCGTTTCTACCACCTCCTCTTCTCTGTTTCCTCTTTAATGCAAAACTCCTACTACAATGATAACTGACAGCCACGGGGTCTCTCGTTAACACTAAAAACTCCTCTTCAGCTTCGTCTTCGTCCTCTTTGTGCGCCTATATTTGCGCGTGCACACGAGCCACCCCGGGACCAACCTATGTACAACATTATTAGTGTTTTTTTCCTCGCTGTTTCTATCCCCCTTCCTCTCCCTTGCTCTCTCCCTTGTCTTCTCCGTACCCTCTCTCCGTCCCTTTCTCTCACATGTCCCTGAATATTTCTTTCATCGCGCCGTGTCTTCTTTCTCACCTTCTTCATGGTGTTCTACGACCTTGTGCACTTCTGCCCACTGTGTTTTTGCCTCTGTTTACTTGTGATTTCCCCTCAGCCCCCTCCTTTTGTCACTAGTAGGTTTATTCGCTTTGAACCCCTGTCCTCCACTGGTGTATCCGGATTTCTTGCTTTTTTTATGTATATTTATATATCCTTCCTTTTTTTGTTCTTTTTATTCACGCAGGAGAGCATGGGCTTCTGCTGGATCTAACTTACAGAAGTAGGCACAGCGATTTCTTTTTCTGTTTCATCTTCTTCTCTGGCGACTTTTTGTTGATTTGTCGCACCAGGTCGTAGAAAATCTGCAATCACACGTACCATATTAGTGATGCTGTTTGGATTATTCGTTTACTATTGAACACAATTTGCTGAAGACAATTTTATCCTTAAGACTAGCTCACATCACTCAATTATACTTTCTACTCTTTTCAAGGACATACTTAGTCATACATTCCACGTCTACTTAACTATTCTACTTACATTCTATTCTAACTGCATTATTTACAATATGAGACTAAGAATCCTAACAGCATAACTTCATACATGAAAGAATGAAAAGCAGGCACACGAATGCAGAATGGTATAATTGTTTTGTCTCCGTAACGCTTTATAATTAAAAAATAAATATCAAACATGGAGGTAGAATTTTCTTATCGCCGTTTTAGCTGTGATAGTAAAGGGTTAGACTTTCCACGAGTTTGTAAAGAAAAGTTAGAAATGTTTCTCGGTGAACAATCCTCTACCAAAGTTGATACATGAACGCAAATAAAATTTATTTCAAATAATCGCTTGTACGTTGTATACCCTGTCCCTAAAAAATCGATTCCACTCAATAGATGCATTTCAATTGCTTCAAATAATTGCTCTCTGATGTTTCGAACATCGCATTCAGAGATTCGCAGAAAAAACGTGCTCCAATTATGCAACTGAATTGTAATGGCGCACCGGCGAAATAACAAAAGTAATCAAACGCAGAAACGCCAGATGAATTCCCCGGAGAGGAGAAGTTATTCAGAACTGTCTGAAGTACGATTCACGGTAGAATCTTTAGAAACGTCTCGTCAGAGAGACAGCCTTTCACGGGAAAGCGAAGGGAAACATACTCGTGGAGAAAAACAATCATCGCTGTCACCGAATGTCGCTGTTCTCCGGGCTTTTACGGAGAAACAATAAAAAGAAAAGATGACAATAAGTTAATTTTCGAGATGAAAATTCGGCAGTTCTTTCAGTTACATGCATGGAGCTAAGTAAAATTAGCGTCATTTCATCATTGACGCAACTAGGATCTCTGCATGAAAGGAGTGAAGTCTCTAGCTTTCTTTTACTTTTGGAAATTTTAAAATTAGGACACTGGTACTTTAAAGATTCGCAAACTTAGAAATGTACAACTTAAAATTTCTAAATTTCCATTACAACAATTCATCTTACATATATCTAAATTTCTTCGGTCCAAATTTGAGAGTTGTTAAGCCTACTTCAAACCTAGTCAATGAATTCATCTTACAACTTGTTCCACTAGCCACAATTTGTCAACCGGAAATTTTACAAGATTAATTCTCAAATAAAGTTAGACTTTACTCTCAACGTGCCACGAAAATGAATCCGTGGGCAGGTTTATTTTTCTTACACAGAGAGATGTATGGATTGCAGACGGTAATTTAACGAGTTGCAAATTGCTGGCTGAGTGGTACAGTTATAATGTTGCGAGGGTCGCAAGTGGCGAATAGAGATGCGAGAGTCGCACTCCCACACTTGGCGATTGCATTCCCACATTTAAATTACAATATCTCAAAGCCTTCGTAACGGTCTTGAACTCCCACGCGTCGCACTAATTAAACAACAACAATGGTATCTTTGGATAACTACTGTTATTCTCTTACAATCGTTCGATGGGATATTCTTTCTTTCCTAATGCAGAGACAAACTTTTATTTGCGTTCAATTCGTGCTTCGAGTTAACTTCTACTGCGTTCTACTAGGTTTTACTTAGCTCAATTTGGCTTTACTTAGTTTTATATTCTACTTAATAGTTCTACTTCAGTTGGCACTATTGCATCTTACATTTAATTCTACTTATTTCTACTTGACTTAATTGTACAGGCATTCATATTATCTTATTCTAGTTCACATTACCAACAGAGTACACACAATCTCTCATTCATATTGTTACATAGTTTACATAAAATCGAGGTGACACGCTAACGCACGCTAACACACACTAACGCACGCTAACACACGCTAACGCACACTAACGTCAATAAGCGTACAATACAGCCGACAAAGTACAAAAGACAAAGGAAACGATGAAAGGGTCGCTACTACTCACATCGTAAACATTAATTTTGGCTTTGGCAGAGGTCTCCATGAAGGCGCAGTTAAATTGCCGGGCAAGGTTGACGCCCTGGTCTTTGCCCACTACCCTTTCGTCCTCCAGGTCGCACTTGTTACCCACGAGGACCATCGGCACGTCATCTGTGTCCTTTACCCGCAGGATTTGTTCCCTGAGGTCTTGCAGGTCGTTGAACGTTGACTGTGCCGTTATCGAGTATACTAACACGAATCCTTGTCCGTTCTTCATGTAAAGGTCCCTCATGGCTGTGAATTGTTCCTACAAAAGGAAACACGCTATAAATTTACACATTCCACAAAATTACCTACACAGTTATCCTCTTATTAAAAATTATTTCTCTTTTACAAGCGAGGATCTGTTGCGTCAAAAGGTTAAAGAGAAAAAGAAACTCACCGTTCCGGCTGTGTCTAGGATTTCTAACATACATTGTTGACCGTCGACCTCGACCTGTTTGCGGTAGCTGTCCTCGATCGTTGGATCGTACTTCTCCACGAAGATACCCTGCACGAACTGGACAGTGAGGGCGGACTTGCCTACACCTCCACTGCCCAACACTACTATTTTATATTCACGCATTTCCTTGCCCTAATTCTCTGTGCGCCTGTGGTCACAGCCCAGGGGTCACCGAATCCGCCACGTTTTGCTCCTCTTTGCTTTCAGTTAGAACGGACCTGAACAAACAACCCATCAAACCTTTACTTTCCTTTTCTCGCATGTGTTGGGGTGGAAAATACTGGGAGTACAAATTTTAGGATCTGCAAATTTAAACTCAGTGGGCAAAATTTGAAAAATTTTAACTTTGACTATTTTCTTTGACTCAGTTGAACCCACAATTTTATATAATAAATTGTGAAACGAAAAGTGAAAGGAAATGTCCAACGAATTAAAATTAAACGGTACGCTAAATCCGCGAGGTATGGAATTACAGAAATTCATTTATGACGAACGATGTGCAGAGAGATAGAAGAGATTCGAGGATCTAGAGCAGTTTTTCCACTTTCCATTGTCTTCGCTTCGAAAAACTTTTCCCCGAACCTTTGTTTGTAAATGAAGGATCGCCTGCCCGGGGGTTCACCCACATTTTCAGGTCACTACGGAACAATATAACGCCGCATTTCCGGTTCTCTGGTTCGCCACATTCGTGATAATACTTATTTTAAATCATGTCGGATTAGTTCTCTTCGTGCAATTAATTACAACAATCAAGAATTACTGTTCCCCTTTCATTTTATATTTTTTCTCTCTGCGTTTTCAACATATTTTCTTTCGCAAACGTTGTGCTTTTTTTATTTACCGTGCCGTTTCCGATGGACCGGGCTCGTAAAAATACAGAGAACTTGTAAAAATAAATTTTACTAGCTTTTATTTCCCGCGGGAGCGGAGCAACTTGATTTTTCATGATAAAAAATATGGTCGACGGAAAAGCGGAACGTTAATAAATATTTGACGCGTGTCCACACGTCTTTTTCCCATGTTCGATATAAAATAAAGAAATGTAAAGTAATTGGAGTAAAAATAAAACAAAGGCAATGTAAAAACGTGTATATAGTTTTAATATACAATATCTTTTTCTGAATTATTCGATCAAGAAAATCGTGATCTAAAACAAAGGAGCAAACGGAAGATTTCGAGATAAAACAGTAAAGAGGGAGAAATTCGTCGAAGAAACGCGAGAGAGAGAAACCGGAAGAAAAACAAAGAGTCAGAGAGAGCAAAATAGTAAAAGCAAAA